GCCCGGCCCCGCCCACCGCCCGGCCGCCTTCCCCGGGATGCGAGGCCCCGCCCCTCCAGTCGCCCTAGGACACGAGGCCCCGCCCCTCCCAGTCTCTCTGAGGCCACGCCCCTAGTCTCCCTGGGAGCGGAGGCCCCGCCCTCTCAGTGTCCCTGGGAGATGAGCGTTCCCACCTTTCTAAGGCAGTTTCTGTGCAGAAGCCCTGCCCCACGGCGCCTTTTCCTTGAAACAGGCCCCACCTTGCCTGCTCCCCAACCTCACCCCTTCGTCCCACCCGGCCCTGGTCCTGAGCCCTGAGCGCCTTTCTCCGCTGCGCTCCCAGGTCTGCAAGATGTTCAACTACATGCGCTTCTCGCTAACGTGCGACATCCTCTTCTTCGTCTTCGCCTTGGTCTTCTTCTACACGCGCCTCGTCCTGATGCCCACCCAGTGAGTGCCCCGTGGGGCCGGGGCTGGGTGCCCGGCGCAGGGCCCAGAGCTGCTCAGCGACCTCCGCCCAGTGTGCCGTGGAACCGGAAGTGGGAGGGGCGCAGGGTGCCAGCTCACGGAAATCATCGCCCAGAGATATTTGTTGAGCCAGGTGGCGGGGACACTGCAGGCGGACAAGCCTGTCCTTGTGTTTCCGTCCCGATGTGGAGGGAGCATGTGAGGGGCCGGTTGTGCCAGAGAGAATAAAGTTGGGAAGGGCATAGGAAGAGTGTGCGGCAGCTGGAATTCACCGGGGTGCTGAGGGACACTTTGTCCACAGCATGTGTACAGAGGGACGGTGATTCTTACCCTTAAGGAGTCCAAGAAATAAATCTAGGCATGGTGGTGCATTCCTATCATCCCAGCACTGGGGAGGCTGAAGCGGGAGGATCACTGAGAGTTGAGTTCAAGGCCAGGCTGGGCTACATAAGGAGCCTTTGTTTCAAAACAAAAAAACAAGTGTAGGTATCATCCAGGAGGGGCACTGGGGAGCCATAGAAGGTTCTAGAGCAGAAAGGGCTGTGTAAGTGAGAGGTTCCAAAGACTGGGTGCCCCCGTAGCTGGTGAAACCCCTTTCCCTTCCAACACAGGCTTATCTACTCCTCCTACTACGACTCCATAAAGGAGTTCAGCCCCTTCCCAGGCTACTACTTCTTCCTCATCCTGATGGTGTTGCTCAACCTGCTGCATGTGTACTGGTTCAGCCTCATCCTGCGCATGCTCCACAACTACCTGGTGAAGGGTCAGGTACGGCAGGGAGGGTTAGAGCCCGGAGGCTTCCCCAGAGCCTGCCAGCCCTGACTCCTCCCTGCCTGGCATGCTCCCCAGATGACGAAGGACATTCGCAGTGATACTGAAGAGTCCAGCTCCAGCGGTGACGAGGCGGCTCCTGAATGTCCCCAGCTGCTCAGTGGGGTGGCTCAAGAGCCCAACCAGGCCATGGCGGGCGGCCCGCGGAGCCGGGCACCAGGGCAGCGGGCCAGCGGGCACACGGTGGCCACGTAGCCAGTGGGGCCTGGCTTTAGGGGTGGCTGGACAGGCAGCACTGGGCCTGCTCTGGGGATATAGGAAGGCCCCTCCCATGGCAGTCAAGGGGGTGATGATCTGTCCCCAGCCCCTTTTTTCTGCACAGTGACACGACACTGGTGGCCAGCTGGAGCCACCTCAGGCTGCAGCCCTAGGGGGTGCAGTGAGCCCTGGCTGAGAGGAGATCGAAAGTCCCTGCCTGGTGGTGCATGCCTGCCATCCTAGCACTCAGGAGGCTGAGGCAGGAGGATTGCCTCGAGTTCAAGGCCAGCCTGGGCTACATAGCAAGAGCCTGTCTGAGAAACCACCAAAAAGGAGGCGTTCAATAAAACCTGAACTGAATTCTCTGCCTGAGAGCCTGGGTCCCTGTCAGGTTCCTGCTGCTTCCCCAAAATGCAGAGGGCACCAGGCTACCTCATTACATGCCCCCCAAGAGGGGATACTCACTGCCAGGGACCCCAAACAGATCAGGGCATGGAGACCCCTGAAGTCCTCAGGTAAGGCCCAGACCCCCCAGCCAGCACCATAGACAGAAGCCACCTTCTCTACCGGGGCAGCGTCAGCCGGCAGCGCAGTCAGGGCCAGGCAGGAGGGCGCAGGGGAGGCCTGTGCTTGTCCTCGTGGCCCTTGAACCTGCCCACCTAGTGCCCTGGCACATCCTGGGCACAGTGAAGGAAGTCTTGGGTGGGGCCGCCCTATCTTTGGGGTCCCCACATGAAGGATCCCTTACTGACTTAAAAAAGAAAAGCAAATGAAACTAGATGGAGAAAATAGAGCACGCCTCTAATTTCAACACGCGAGAGGCTGAGGCAGGAGGATCGCTGTGAGTTTGAGGCCCCCCTGGGCTACATAGTGAGCTCAAGGCCAGCCTGAACTACATAGGGAGACCTTATCTCAAAAAAACTTTTTTTTTTTGCATAAAATAACTTTAAGGCTGTGTGTATAAGGTGTATGTGAAACAAAGTAATGAATTTCATGTTTAAACATTGGTTTCTTCCTCAAAAAAGAGGTTTTAATCCCCCACGGTATCTCATTATACATATGCAAATATTCTCAAATCGGAGCACTTCTAATACATGAGGCTTTGTGAATCAGGAATTCCGCTAGACCTTCACTGGTTTAAAAAAAAAAAAAAAGTGGGCGACAGCGCCCTCTGTTGGTAGTGTTTGCAGGAATGTAAACCACCCCCCTCACCGGGCGACTCACCTCCCGGAGCGATACCGACCAAAAATACCTTTCCTTTCATCTCCAAATGTACACTAGATACTAGTGTAGTGTGAGTAATACGTTAGGGTTTCCAGCGCTCCCGCGGCTCAGTGAGAAGAGGCCAGGCAATCTGAAAATAGAGACAAAACTACCAGGTATGATGGTGCGGGGTTATAATCCCGACATTCCGGGAGCTGAGACAGGAAGATCTCAAATTGGAGCCCAGCCTGGGCAACTAGCAATTTAGCTAGACTTTATCTCAAAATAAAAAATAACAAAAATGTAACAGGTCTGTGATGGAGCGCCATGAGAAAGCCCCAGGATTCATCCTAGTGCTATTTTTTAAAAAAATTTTTTAAGGTCAAACATGCTGGCGTGGTGGCGCACACCTGTAATTCCGGCACTTGGGAGGCTGAGGCAGGAGGATGGCTGCGAGTTTGAGATCAGCCTGCGCTACAAAGTGAGCTCAAGGTCAACCTGACCTGCATAGCGAGATCCTGTCTCAAAAAGATAAATAAATAAATAAATAAGGCAAAACATTAAGTGCATGTGTAGAAAACTCTTAAATAAATTTATAAAGTACACTTGACCTCACTAATAACTAGGCAAATAGGAATGGAGACCACGAGGGGTTTTTTGTTTGTTTCTTTTTGGTTTTTGTTTTGTCTTGTTTTTTTGGTTTTTTGAGACAGGCTGCCTTTAAACTCACTATGTAGCACAGGCTGGCTTCCAACTCAAGGCAATCCTCTTGCCTCAGCCTCTTGAGTGCTGGGATGACAGGTGTGCACTACCACATTCAGCAAGATGTCATTTTAGACACATCCATTGGCAATTTTAAAAAATCAGACCATAGCACATGCTGCACATAATAGGGGGCAACAGCACTCTTGGTGGTAGTGTTTAGCATGCAGAAGGTCCTGGGTTCAAATCCCAGCACTGCAAAAAAAAAAAAAAAATTGTATAGGTGTTAATATCTATCCAGTATACCTTTAATTTGGGAATGTAAAGAGAACAAGATTCGGGTAGACAAATTACTGTCACTGCTGTAGGTTTTAAGTGAGATACAGAGGCAGGCACACATTACATTGTTAATAAGTACAATTTAAAGGATAAGCAGGGGCTGGGGATTTAGCTCAGCAGCACAGCGCCTGCCTGGCAAGCGCAAGGTCGTGAGTTCAATTCCCGGTACCGGAAAAAAAAGAAAAAAAAAGAAAAAGGATTGTTCTAAAAGGGATAAGCAGCCAAGCATAGGTGTCCACACCTATGATCTCAGTACTCCGAGAGGCTGAGGCAGGAAGATCACTAGCTTGAGCCCAGCCTGGGAAACTTAGTGATTTAGCAAGGTCCTGACTCAAAATAAAAAATAAGCTGGGGATACAGCTCAGAGGCACAGTGCCTTGCTTGGCAAGTGTGAGGTCTTGCGTTCGATTCCAAGTACAAAAATAAATAAATAAAAAATAAGCCAGATGTGGTGGTGCACACCTGTAATCCCAGCACTCAGGAGGCTGAGGCAGGAGAATCACTGTGAGTTCAAGACCAGCCTGAACTACATAGCAAGATCTTGTCTCAAAAAACAAAAAGTGGGGCTGGGGATTTAGCTCAGCGGCACAGTGCCTGCCTGGCAAGCGTGAGGTCATGAGTTCGATTCCCGGTACCGGAACCCCCCCCCCAAAAAAAACCCACAAAAAACAAAAAGTGTTGGTGAGGATACGGAAAAGTAAAACAGCCTGAGTTTATTGCTGGTGAGAATGTAAAGTGAGTTCATCAGTGTGGATGGTTTAGATCTAAAATGTCCCTAAAAGTTTCACGTGAGTAGGTGTGGCCCGTCAGGGGGCCCAGGCAGAGGGGGCGTGGCCTGGAATGGGAATCCTTCACCCCTCTCCTCCCTCTCTGTCTGCGTCCCAGGCACCATGAGGTGAGCAGCTCTTTCCACCAGGCCCTTCTGCCATGTTGCTTTTGCCTTGGAGCCAGCAACCATGGACTGAACTCTCTGCAAGCTGAACCCAATAAACCTCTCCTCCCTTAAGTTGTGGGCGTTTGGTATTGCGTCCCAGAGGGGCAAAGTGACAAAGGTAAGCGCTATTCACAATAACTAGAAGTAGGAACATCCCAAACATCCTCCAGTGGGTGAGCAGATAAGCAGACGGTGGCCCTCCACAAATGCAATATTCTTCAACCCTAAGAAAGGGGCTGGGGATTTAGCTCAGTGGCACAGCGACTGCCTGGCAAGCGCAAGGTTGTGAGTTCGATTCCTGGTACCGGGAGAGGCAGGGGGAATCTTAAGAAAGAAGGAAGTACCGGTGTGTGCTGAAAATGAGTGATCCCTGCCTGGGTGGCAGTGCACCCCTGTCATCCCAGCACTTTGGAGGCTGAGGCAAGCGAATTACTGAGAGTCCAAACCCAGCCTGGGTACATGGCAAGTTCAAAGCCAGCCTGAACTACAAAGTGAGATGCAGTCTCAGAAAAATAAAAAATCAGAAGCAGGCTCCTTGAAGAAGCCAGTCACAGAAAATCACACATTCGCATGATTCCATCTGTATGAAATACCCAGAACAGTAAACCTATCAAAATGCAGTTTTATAGGTTCTGGGGATCAAGGGTAACTACCTATTTAATAGGCACAGACCTTTATTTTATGCAGTGATGGAAATGTTTTGGAACATGTGGTTGTATAACAGAATACTAAATGTCACCCAACTGTTCATTTTAGAATAATTTCATGTTAGGTGAATTTATGCTAATAAAATCCATGAAAAGGGGATTTGCATAAACCAGCAGTGAACAGTGTCTTGTGAACGAAGGTTTACAATTATTGCAATTCCATGTACCTGGCATTCCCATGCCCAATCACCCCTACTTCCCATTATCCCCCCAAAAAAACCCTCGTGGGCTGGACACGGTGGCCTCACCCTGTAACTCCAGCTACTTGGGAGGCTGAGGCAGGAGGATCACAGGTTTGAGCCCAGCCTGGGCAACATAGTGACTTAGCAAGATCCTCCCTGAAAATAAAAAATAAAAGAGGGACTTAGGACGTGGCTCAGTGGTAGAGCACTGGGTTTGAACTCAGTACTGGGAAAGCGAGGGGTGCCGCGGGAGGAGATAAATGAACCTGCTACTGCCACCCCTGCAGAACTGTGCTAGGAGTTCTAAGCAGAGTAATTCGTTAAGACAAGAAAAGGGCATAATGTTTAGAACAGAAAGAAAGAGTTTAGACAAATTGCTAATTGCTGCATTCAAAGTCTGTATCCAAAAGGGACTTAAAAAAAAAATAGCTTTGCTGGGCATGGTAGCGCGAGCCCATAAGCCCAGCACTTGGGAGGCTGAGGCAGGAGTATCTCTGTGAGTTCTAGGCCAGCCTGGGCTACACAGAGAGTTCAAAATCAGCCTGAACTGCATATTGAAATCTTGTTGAGGGGTGAGGGGCAGGGCAGATAGAAAGACAGACTACTTTGGAGTATGAAGTCTTAATTTCAAAAAGATGTCAATTCTCCCCCAATTGTGTTATTATGTAAACCAACTTTTGTTTTTGGGGTTTTTTTTTTGTTTGTTGTCTTTTGAGAATGTGTTTTTTGGTTTTTGGTTTTTTTTCCAGTACTGGGAATCGAACTCACGACGTCGCGCTTGCCAGGCAGGCGCTGTGCCACCGAGCTAAATCCCCAGCCCTGTTTGTTGTCTTTTGAGACAAGGTCTCCCTATGGCAGTTCAGCCTGGTCTTGAGCTCACTTTATAGCTCAAGCTCGTCTGGAACTTGCAACAATTCTCCTGCCTCAGCCTCCCAAGTGCAGGGATTACAGGTGTGTGCCACCACACCCAGTTTAAACCAAATTTTTGAGACAGGGTCTCACTATGCTGTCCAGGTTAACCTTCAACCCATGGGCTCAAGCCATCCGCCTGTCTCAGCCTCCTGAGTAGCTGGGACTATAGATGCCTACCAACCCACACAACTTCACAACAATTTTGATCAAAATCTCAAAAGGATTCATTTCACAGGAAGACTGATGCTATATACAAACATGTGAGGGCCCGCACACATACATCCAAGCATTCCTTAAAAGTACAGGGGATGTGGTGGCGCACGCCTGTAATCCCAGCCCTCAAGGGCTGAGGCAGCAAGTCATTGTGAGTCTGGAGGGTCACCTTGAGGCCAGCC